TCCACGGGGTATAAATTTACCGCGTTTTCGTTTCTTACACGGGTTACACAGGGACCAACGGTGTTCCCAGTTTTTCCACGGAACGGCACCGGGAACACGGTCGTTCAACACGCGCACCACCGATTCGTTAAACACTCGCCGAGATCCGAAGCAATCTCTCAAGCGTCTGATCGTAGCCGAAGAAGGAGAAGGTTTCGTGGCAGGTGTGCGTGAGAAGACAATCGAAATTGTCTACAGCGTTCGTAATTAAGCTGTTCATTTGTAGAATTTCTTCACGTATTATCACAGTTAATTTATGCAATTTACCAAGAGACTCTCAATCGACTGTAGCGTGGAATAATAATGAACAGTTCCTAATCGCTACTCAAACTTTCTTATGAATAGCAACGACTTCGAGAAGAGTACGTAAGAATCGTACAGTTTCTCGTATGAATCAATATTCAATCACCCGATACAAACTGCTGAACGCCGAGCTATAGAACTTTCACGAGGATGAAGAGCGAACACGCGATGTAAACTCGTCGGATTCGCCGAAAATCGTTACCACGGCCGGGAGCCGAAATCACCGATATAAATTCCTGTCCAAACATCCACGGCGCAGCGTCCGCGATCCATGACCGCAACGAGGAAGTACGAGAGACACGTGAGAAAGTAATACGAACGAGCACTGACCGAAATGCTACCTGCGGAAAAAACCGCAATCGCATCGTCGCTGGCTCGAGGGAAGCCCGCGTTCGTGCCGAGGCAGGCTCTCGAGGAGCCGCGTGGCATTAGCATATCGCGATCGCAGTCCCCGCGGAGCCGACCGAGCTGCGATAATATAGCCGGCAACCGCGACAAAAGTTCATTAACGAGCGCTCGATGGGAATCGTAACTCAGACACGCGTCATTGCGTGCACGCGCGATCGCGGTAATGCCTGGTAAACGCGAGCCCCCGCTGCACACCGATTCTACGGGTTCAAACGAATTCATTCTCTGAGTCGTTTAACGGGTGAACGCGGACAGCGAGATCTTAGCGACTGGTTCTACTATTTTTGTCTGTCGATTCGTTAGAAAGTTTGTATTGTACAGACTACTGCATCGGTGGTACAATTGGCATTAAATGAAAAGAGAAATCTTGGATATATTTAATTTTACTATGACCGAATCAGAAGTTTCACGGGAGACGGTCTAAAATTAGTTCGCGGCTCACGTGTATACTTTTTACTCGCATTGCCTTGTTAGGCCATATATCTTCGCAGCACTTTAAGAGGTTTTATCAACGGGTACCCAATGCGCGTCACCGAAATAACCAGTTTACTTACTGGCCGTTCGTTAATTATCGCGAAATCACCGGCAAGAATAATTGCCGGTCTCGTCATAAATCCTGAGCAGGGGTGCGACGGGTCAGTACCTCTAATTTCATCCCCACCGTCGCGTCGTCCCATTCAATTTGCGGCGCCGATATTCGCCGCATTTTTTATTCGTGAATTATTCGCGGGAGGAGACGAGAAAAAAAGGAGAAACGAAATCGTTCGCGCCCGACACTGAAACCCAGATAAAATTACTAGCCGTTCCCCCCGGCGCGGGAATAATAAAGCAAATACTTGTTACGCGAGGGCGAAACATTGAATTCCGGCCGCGATATAAATTACACCGCGAGCGATACGCGTCGACTAATACCGTTCTCGTATATTGAACGGCCCGGATGAAAGTCTGGGAACGCGAAACGCCCCGTACACTTTTTCTCGCTCGTTATTGCGAGTAACGGTGGGCGTATGCGTGGACCCCCAAGTGCGAAAAGTTAGATGGTACGTTATTACTTTTAGGGACGGTGAATATTTCTCGATTTAACCGCGCCACGTCGCCTTGGGTGCCGATTTATACCGCGTGACGATTTGCATACCGGGGGATACGCCGCGCCGCCCGGCCGATCTTCGAGGGGATCGATCGGGTGAACGTAATTGATTTAGTGAGGCGCCCTCGATCGACCATAAATCACCGGGTCCACTCTCACGAGAATCATTTGTTCTCATTAAACTGCCTCCGTTTACCGATTCCCGATGTCCTACGCTTCGGCTAGAGCCCCGTCTGACTATTTCGCGAATAAATCACTGACGCGGCGTTTCAATAGGAAAGCTAGCTACGCGTCCCTTGAACCTTGGCCTGTCCTTTCAAGATACCATCTTGCTCTCAGTCTGCAGGAATTTCAACACCGTAAATTGTAAACCTTCGATTGTTCCGCAGAGTACCAACGGAATAAACGGCTGTTAACATTATAGATACTCAGGAATCGTAAAGTAAAACAAGGAGTTATACTTTCTATTTAAGCGACTGATTGAAATTGATATTTCTTGTAAAACACGTTTACAAGAAGCGATATAACACGAAACAAAGTAGGTGAAACGTAGAAACACGCGATTTTAACTTGAATTACAACCCTCAATTTCGTTTCGACACGCTGCTTATCGTTTTCTCTCTGTCAATTGCACGTCTTATCGTTTCGCTAAAAACGCCTGGATAAAGGCTAACTGTACAGAACGATAATAACAATGAACATATCAACCGGCGTACCGGCATTAGTGTCATAGAACGTCGCGGGACAGGTGAAAGGGGCAGGCTCGATGAAATCACGCTCCCGATAACAACTGTCGACTATCGGATCCGTTTCCTTGTGAGTTATACGCGTGCAGGCTGCAATACGCTGGAACGAGCTTGTCCGCGAATTTATCGGTCACCGTTTGACAACGTGAAAATTACCACTTATCTGGTTAGAAGCCGTCGATCGCGTAGCACGTGTCGATTTAACACCGCGACGGGAAGCTGCGCGTAGGAATATCGACACGACACTCGCACAAGGTTCGCTGAACCGATAAGAAATGTCGGTCGCCGAAGAAATATCGTCGACCCGATTCTTTTGATAATCTTAAATTTTTGGCAACGCTGGAATTACGATCGAAGCATCCGAGGAACGCGAGGAATGCGAAGTTATGCTGATAAGGCGAATCAAATTTTCTGATAGTTTCTTGGAAGACTGACGAATTCTTGTTTACTGGCTGCTTTGTTTAAGAAGAGATAAGAGTTCATTTTTTATGGGAATTCGGCATTTAGTTTAAACGATGATTTAGAAGTTAATATATACTAATTTGCGGTTCGATCGTCTGGGACCGTTAAATTTGATAAACAGTATAATTGGTTACCTGCTCTATCAATAGGACGATGACCTAATTCTATCCCTAGTACGTTCCGCTTGATTTACATACGAGCCTATACGTTGTGCTCTCATCGTTATACGACTTGTCCAAATGTAATAAACGCAATATTAACATATACTATTATTCTTACAAATCTGTACTACCAAAAATACGGCAGAAAAATCCACTGATTTTGGTCCTGTCTTTATATGATAAAAAGCTAGCTGCTAAATTCGATGATCTTTGATCCAAAAAGTTTCGGAACTAGCAAAAAACCTGATTTAAAATATTCTTTTGGCACCAGACGTTTCGATTAAAAAAGTAGCGCTCGTACGCTTGTGTTCGAGCCTCTGGGCCACCGGAAGCGTGCAAAAACTTCGGTACGCGACGATCAGCAGTACGGGGCCGGTTCGTTCGCGGGTGGTCAAGCTACGAAATCGGGTGGGAACCGAGGCGGTGCAGAAGGTGCAGCGGGACGGTTAATTAGGAGACCAGGAGGGTCGACGGGCCACTAACGCGACAGCGGTGGGACGGGAGTAGCCGTATCGGCTGTTCCTCGCTGAAAAACGCAGCGCTCTTAAATCTCTCTGTCTGCGGCGCGGCTGGGAACGTACGGGGTCAATTGGCCGGTCCTTAAATCGCGAAATCTCGGTGCGATGACAAATCGCCGTTATATATGCTCCCGTTCGTGAATCGTGGGAGAAACCCGAACGATGCGGTGCGGTGCGTGTGTCTGAACCGTGCGCGTAAATCAAAGTTCGCGTTGTCCCATCGCAGCTTTTTACGGCCGCACGAACACGAGAACAGCGAGTTCAAATCGTGCGAGCGGGACTTGAAAACTTTTTGTATCTTTCGCCTTATACTGCATTTTCTTGTATCACGTTTTACTATCCAAGATGCGTCGATTGACAATGAATATAATGTTTGAAACGAGAAATCAATCGGTGGTCTCGGTCCTGTTTTTCTTGGTAGATGTCGAGAGAAAATATATTTTGAATTTATTGCCGGTCGACGTGTTTCTACACAGTTTATGTACTGATTGTTGGACTCGTTTGCATGTTTCCTTAGCATTAACGACCTGAAATTGAAATGCGCGCAGGATACTCGACCACACCTTCTAATTAATGACACAACGCGCCTCGTCACGTATCCCTTTTTTTTACACCTGTCCAACTTCTACCGGGAATATCATAAAATGTCTAACCGCGTTGACTCCCTTAATTATCAGTTTACACACGAGGAAAACGAAAAGGAAAATCGTGAACACGCCCGTTTACAAACATTTTCTTTGCGTACCGCCTAACGACCGTCCTCGTGAAATCGACGATCTTGTTACGGAGAAACCGAACGAGAACTCTCCGAAAAGACACGACCAAAAGGTACATCAGAAACCACGCTTTTGCCTCGTATTAACTCTGCAAACGAACCTGACGACTCGAATCCTCTGTCATGCATAACCCGTAACGCGTGCGTGTCACGACAATAAAGACGGTGCTACCGGTTCAACGTTGACTTAATTTTCATGGCCTCTTAAATCGCCTGCGTTGCCGGAAACGCGAACGAAAATAAGACGCTGTGCGACGCTCGTTGGCGATTCAATAGATCCGCGTGCAACGCTTAATAACTATAAACGGTGCGGTACCGTACCTCGACCCACTCGTCATTAACCTCTTTCCACGGCCCGCTCTGGCCATAACTCAGTATTCCGCGGGATTAAACGCACGTTCAGCGTTCCGTCGCACGCACCGGCACACTCATCGCCGACTAACTGCGATTCAGCTTCCTTTCGACTATTAATTATCGCCTCTAATACACGATCCCTCGCGCGCACGAAGACGTCGCCTCGATCTATCGCGCGCGATCCTAATCTTTCTTAAATCATATTTAATACGATTCCCGGCCCCCGTACCGACAGTTCCACGACCACATATACAATATATATTCTCTGCCGATTGAACGGCCGCGGTGGTTCTCGATTTTATTGCGTTCGATTCCAGCCACCCTTCCGTTACGAGATTGGAACGGACAAAAAGAGTGAGTATCGCGGGCTTCGAGCTCGATAGATCTAGGCTGTAAAGTTTCTTAAGTTTTATCGTCTGAACCGTGAAATAGCTAGATATTCATTTTTCACAATTATATTGAACGCACAGTGCTTCCTGTCAGTAAATTATATTGGTAAATCCTGTTATTATTAACCGATAAATCTGTCCACGTGTGATATAAAATATTAAGAATTGTAACTAACCGAGGAGGACTGATCACCTGGTAATACTTATAGCAAACTTGAATCGAAACAGTTTACGTGCTGCTATCCTAATTAAATTACGGCTGCAGTTTCTAATATGCACCGGAAAAGAATTTAAGATAAATGCTGATAACTTAGCCTTGGGATCAGACGTTGAGCAATTCTACGGAAGGAGTGGCACTGATAATGATTGTAAATTTATCAGAGCGAGCTTAAAGTTAATTAACAGTGCGACGCTTTAGGTATGATTCGATTAATTAATGCAATCAGGTCGTATGCTCTAGGAAAACATCCTCGCAAACTACATATATAGTTACATGTTTAATGATATTCATCAACGAACATCACTGGCTTATTTTCTGTACGTATGTACATAAATCCGACATTGAAATTAAACTGAAAAATGAGTGGAATTTAATTGGATTCGGAAGCTCGATAGGAGTTGAAATAAAATTTTTTATGAACATTAATTGGAAGGTTTAATTGTATCTCCATTAACTTTAAGAGTTATTTTTTAAATTTCATTTTTAAGATGATATCTTAAATTGTTGGAATTAATTGTGGATTAAATTTTATACGAATTATTAAAAACTAAGATTGATGCATCTATTACAGAAATACAAGCAGAACAGAAACGAGTAGTTTTAGTACACGATCTCGTCATTTGAAAGAGATAGAATGTTCTGTAAACAATGTCAACTAATATACTACAGATCTAAGAAATTCGTAAGCATCCTTAGGGCAATGTGGGTCGCGACCTCGCGATCCCTCCGGATAGTTCCGTCTTTGGCTAATCGCGGACCGTTCTCTCCAGCTGATAGCGACGTATCGGGGCCACTGTATCCCCTCGGAGCTTCCGTTATCACCGGCCCTCGCCGACTGATTTATTACCCGGCTACTGCCTTCCCCTTTTTTCTCTTCTTCCCTCTTTCGTCTTCAACGGTACGCTCGACGATCGCGAGAAGAAAAAATCGATTGACCGGCGCCTCCTTCCGGATGCACGAACCGATCGAAACGTACTTACGTACATTCAACGCTACTCGCTTGTTACATCAACGGTCAGTACGATCTCTGATCGAATGGCAGATCGCGATAGGTCTGATCTCCGTCAAGATTCCAATCGCGTGTCCGAACGAGATTCGGTAGTCGGAAGAACATGTTCTTTGTATGTATCACGCTGTTCACGTGTCACTGTGTCACGCAATCGTAACGAAGATCGTTAAAAATGGAAATCCGTCAATCGAATACCTGCCGTGATAAATTCTGCTTCCGGAAGCTAATTTATTCGTCGAACCAGTTGATCACCAGTCAGGCTTTCAATTATTATTCCTGTGCACCGATCGTGATTTACGATCGAGAAAGTCTCGGTCGACGAGTTCTGAACGAAGGAACGAGTCCCGCTGTCGCCCTCCTCCAATGAACGTTATCGAACGATGTGTTTATTTTCAGCTTAGCTCTAATTGTAAGACGGAAAACTTTTGTAAGAATAAACTTCTTCTACCAGATTCTTTTCGTATAAAATACCAGAACCTTGGATTAATTACAAACTTCGAAGAAAGCGAGAGAAAGTACGGAGGCACTTCGTGACAGACCCAAAGTTCGAGACCTCGGTAAAAAGAACTGAAATTCCGTGGATGCCGCTGGATGTCGAAAATGAACATGAGTCGAAACACAAGGAGGGAGATGTGTCATGATCAAGTTCCGACTCCAAGTCAAAGAGGCAGCTAGGTAAATGGAAATACTGAACGTCTGCGATCATGTGTCTCTCTGGTTAAGAAGAGATTCAAGCGTGTATTTACGTTTGGTCCAAACAGATCCTTCGATCTACACGTGTACGTCGATTAACGTATGAGCTGGAACGGTTGTACGTGAACGAGGCATCAAGAATGGCATTTCCGTTTGGCGAACGCGATCGACCATTAAACTCATCTGCATAGGATAATCCCGTAAGAGGGGAAAATAATAAATCTGTGCATTCCGGCAAACAGATTCCTCGATAATTAATCTTGCAGGTATCTGAGGCATCGGGGATCGCGCACGGATCGGAAAGATTAATATCAGACGATTTACTAACGATTGCACTTTCCACTCGCCCTTGCTCGACTATCGACGTTTTAATTAGAGGGATACGCCCGAGATCCTGAAGAGATAATTATACCGTTTTAACACTATCTCCTTAGATTATCATTCTAGAACAGTGCGCTGTACTCTGTATTAAACTGTTCCATACGGAGTGTATTAATCAATTAAGGATCGTCAAGAGTTTCTAATAGATACAAGGAACGTTCGATAAACATTTTCCTTTTCTATTTTTCAGGCTATTTAAAATATACGAATCGCGATTAAACAGTCTCTGTCAATATACCGAGGGTAAAATTAGATTATAAAGGATTCTGGGACAGGGAACGTGATTAGAGAAATCTCGTTCATTCGTAGCTGTACTTGAAGCAATATTGAAAGAAAATATTTGATGTGGAACGGTCACTTTCTTGGAACCTTTCTTCTTCCGTCGCTTTGGAGAAAGTCCAACCTTCGGCGACGAAGTAAAAAAGTGCAGAGGACAGGGACGAACTGGCTGATCAAAGAGGCTCGCGACGAGTTCATTGAAAATAGAATGGAAACGTGTGCGCGCGGAGATCATGCCGCGACGTTCGATCTTCGACCGGTTCGATCGTCCGCGGGGAACGGTGTTACGTAACTCGTTCCACGAGTCGCGATTTTCAGCCACGCGGGTCGATCGGCATCGAAACGCGCGAGAGACACCCCCGTGTCGAGTCATGAATATTTATGAGGCTGCAAACGATTTATTTTTCACGCGGAAATATTTATTAACGGGACACGCTCCGCGGCCTTCTCACAAAAAGCCTCGCGGGTTAATTGGTAGTCGGCAGTTGTTCAAAACCTGACGCTCGATAAATCACGAGTTTTGTACGATTCAATTTGCTCCGAGAATATTTGTCGAGATAAGCTTTATTAATCAATCATCGTTATTCGAGAAAATGTTGGATCGTCAGCTCGGAGTACTGTTAATATAATACTGTGAAATGTATTATTACTTAAAAAGGAATAGAAGTGACTCAATGATTAATTACAAACACGTATCGTCGTTTAGGAAAATTTCAGCAAACGATCGTTTTATCCTCCTTTGGTGTGACGAGGAGGCAACAGTCACAGACACAAGTAAATGAAAATATAAAAGGGTTAAAAGCAACACCGGAAGAGAGTCGAAAATAGAATAGTTAGTCACTGAGTCGAGTGGTGTGCTGTGTCTATTGGCAAGCCACAGGTATTTTGGCAAGATACATACAAATCGTGATTAAATCATTCAAGCACAATGTTGCTCCGTCAAGTAACGAAAGAAAAAAAGAATCCTAATTCTAAATAGATATGCTTAATTACGTAAAATGTTTCAGGCGATTAAACATCATTCCAGTAACAAGAACCATTCTAATGCTTTAATTCTAATGCTTAATTCATATGTTCCTAAGAAGTGTTATAAAACATTGTAATAGATTCTTCTAATGTCACAGGAATTTCGTTATTCAGGTTTACGTAAGAGAGGACATTGAAGTTCTGTCGTTAGGAGAGCTTAGTAAGTATTCGTGAAAGGGTACCGCTACAATTATCGGAAATAAGGCCAGGAATTATAGAAACAGCGTTAGCTGTAGCGCCTGTTTCGTACCCTCATTTCTCGAACGAGTTTCGATTTTTGTACTCAAACCCTCGAGGCAACGATTATTTCTATTTTTACACCTTTTATAATCAAAGACGGAAATTACTTCGCGATTTGAAGACTAACGTTTAGAATTTCTGCCGATGTGACCTGCGGTTCTCCTCTTACAGCGACTGCGACGTCGTCAGAAAAGAAGTTCGAGCAAAGTTAAACGTTTATCCTCGTTTCAAAAAAGAAACTTTGATCGGTCGGCGTGAATTTAGAGCCGAGATCAACGAGCGGGACTCTATCGAAGTTTCAAAGGTTAACGTGGACTACTTAAGAAGAGGTACATGTACTAGGCAGCGCATATTCTTGGATCAGCTCTCTCGGCCCCAGTCGCAGACCTGATCGCATTCTACTGTTAATTTCGCCGATTCAAATCCGGTCGTCAAGACAAACACTTTCTCGCCAGCGCGATCAGTTTTCTCCTTTTTCAACTGTTATGCTACTCATTTTATATTACTTGTCATACGAAACGTCCTGCTCGTGCCATTTTATGATTCTAATAATGTATAAATTCTATTTCTAATGCTAAATAAATATTTCTACCAAAATGAAGTTAAGTTATATCATCGCCTGTCTACCGATTTCCCTTTCCCTAAAAAATTTCGAACCGTTCATTCGTTGGCATTCAAATATCAAATCTTTCCGTAATTCTTGCGATGTTCCGAAATCACGCGCTATAAACAACCCCATCGGACGTTCAACCGTTTATCGCGGCTTAATCTCGTAAACTCCTGTACGTAACGACCTCCGTAAAAGGTCTACGATCAAAAGTGTGCGGATTGGCGCCGCGGGTTTATCTCCGATCCGGACTCGATGCACGGGACGTCGAAATTGGACGATTACGATTCGACGTTTAGAACGGACAATCGGGATCATTGAGTATCAAACGTTCGAGCGGAATCCCGAAACAAGGTCAACGTCACCGATCAGGGAACGTTGGACCTTACGAAATCGAATACCCGTGAATAGCCGAGTCCGCTGGAGGATCAGCGTCAGCTACCTGAACCGAATCGACTCGCTTCGAACATAATTCGACATAAAACTTGAGCATAAACACTAAATTAAATTAGATGTTGCACTCATGTATTTTTACGTACGAATACTTAAGCTCTTTATCGCTCGTCGACTGATAAGATGAAATGTATTTGCCATTAGTAAGACTAGATCATAAATACGATTGGACAGAAAATTATATATTTCCAATCGTCATTGCGAAGTCGTAATGGTACAAGAGTCTATCTACAGTTTCAAGGGATTTCTGCTGATGGACCGATTATGAGTGGCGTTCACGATTAACACGCTATCAATTTTAGAAAACCGTTTTCCTCCGCGTAGGAAACGATAAAAGAGGTAAAAAGTCGGCGAGTGTAACATCGATCTTCGATCAAGCGTCAGCGGTGGCATGCGGATGCGCGATACACATACAAGATGATCCAATAAGACTAAACGCGACGTACCTGACCTACACGGTTTCCAGTTTCGAAACGGTGTTCGCGCTGTATCAGCGAATGATTTACGAGTAATGCGAGGAAAATATGCTTGTGTACTCACTGTAGTCCGAAGTGTCGTCGTTGGAACCGTTCACGGTGCCGTCCGGCAGGATCTGGAGATGCCGATTCTTGATGTACATCTGTATTTTCCTGGAAGCGCCAGTGATGTGCGACAAATTGGCCGACCGTTCCGCCCTAACGCCCGCGTCACCCATTAAATCAACCGGCGCGGCACTCACTGCACTGATAACCGTGCCAATCGCCAACACACTCAACCCGGTCGTACTCGTTTTCGCACTGTGATTGAACACACTCGGCTTATGCAGTCCGCACTGTCCGAACGCGACGAGGAACAGCAGCAACGCCAACTGAATGTACGTGGAGCGGCGACCGTTCGCGTACGCGTACTCGCGTCTTTTCTTCTTCTTCTTCTTCCTCGTTCTCCGGTCGCCGCTCGTCAAGGTCCCGTCGCGTTCGCGCGAACGAGGAAAGTCGGTCCGTCGCCGGAGATCGATGCTCGGCACGACCTTGGCGACGCGCGATTCACAGCGACTCCTGGAATTCGTCACGTCCACTTCCTTCCACGTTTCGTCGGCCAACGACGACGCGACCGTGCTCCTTGAGACGAGCTCCTCGTACCTCGTCGAAGGGTCGCTCGACTGACTAGAGAACCGTGCCGCTCTCCCTATTCGGACATGGTCCGCGACGCGAAACCGCGGCCAGTTTCGAGCTCTCGTCGACAGGACGCAACGCTTCGAGCACCAGCTTCCTCGCCGGTCTCGATTGTCGTCCCTCTCGTTTTCTTCGTGTTCGTTTTTCCGTATCCTCGACGGGATCCCTGACGAACCGAGTCTCCGACTCGTCTCCTGTTCCAAGGAACGATCGTCGGTTCGCGTTCCCGTCGTTATCGTGGCTCCGTCGAGCGTCGATCGGTCGTCCGTGTCGCGTGGTCGCGACTCCGGTCGAGTAGGGCAGGAAGCATTTCGATGGTAATCCGAGTCCACGCATCGAATCGTTTGCAACGACGCCTCCTCGAGCGTCTCATCGGCTCGACGGACGCCTATAAATCTGGACGCTGATTCAACTCGACGAGGAAAGAAACCGAACCAACCACGAGACTCGACGACAAAACCGTCATCGAGCGTCGCCGTTCCTTTCTCGTCGCTCCGCGGAAGTCGTCGTACGATCGGCGTTCGAACGACTCTGTTGTCGCGGTTCAAGGAAGACTCGGTGGAAACTAGTTCGATCGGTATCGGGCAGTCGGCACGGTAATCACAGTGCAGCACCCTGGGCCCGCCCGTGTCGATCTCAGCGAGCATGACGGTCTCATCCACACTCCTTTCCGAGCCCTCCTTCTTATCTACGCGCCACTTCCTCCGCGCTTTTATCGTGATGTATCTTTAACTTTCTCTTTCTACGTTTTATTCCCCACTTCTTCTCATCGATGCTCGTTCGTTCCACTTCTCCTCTTCCTCTCGTCGCTTCGAATTCGTTCGCGTACCTCAGTATCCTCTCGCGTTCGATGTACTCGTCGCGATTCAATCGTCGACCGGCTAGAGCCACGGCACGCGATTAACTTGGTCGCGACGATTCTGTCTCGCGATAGAAGTCCGCATCGTCGTCCTCGGTTACTTTTGCCACGGACGTAGGCCGCGTTGGTACGAGATTCTCGCCGAAATCTGGATATGCAGCAGCTGGTCCGCCGTTATTGTCCATGTAACGCGCTTTCGGTACTCTCGCATTATTGCGGTCCGCCTTGGCAACGGTTCCAACGGCGTTTCGGACGGATCGACGAGGGACGGATCGATGGGCGACGACGACTCCTCTCGTCGACGCGAGCCAGAAGATCGACCGCGCACCGGTCAGAACGGCTTGTTGGCGAAGATAGGAAACCACGGAATTGGCTTACGAGGTGGCATCGAGGCGACGTGCGATGGATCCCGCGACGTGAATTACCAGCTACGACGACGACGCTTCCTGGGTCCGATATCGCCGAAGGTACTCGTCACACTGCGAATGATCCTGGCCGAAGATCGGATGAGCGATCGGTGAACTGGACGCAAAGGCGACGAGCAGGACGAATTAGCGACAAACGAGGCGAAAGGATCGTTGCTCGCTCGTCTTTAATCGGTTTCGTCGAGGCACGCAGGTTGATGCTACCGATTACCTTCGTCGACCTCGCGTACTCTCTTCTTCTCTCTTTCTCCACCTTTCTGTCCCTCTCCTCTTAGTCCCTCTATCAATCGCAAGAACTTCCACCGACACGTTACTCGTACCGCCTTAACGGGTTTCTCTCTCTCCCTCTCTCTTTCTCCCTCTCTTCAGCGGGCATCACTACCTCCTCCTCCGCCTCCTCTTCCTCTCTTTTCTGACGTTTCTGTCTTTGTCCGTATCACCGTTTCTCTTTCACTGACTGCCGCGGCCGTGGGAGAGACCGTATCCTTCCGGAGTCGCCAAGGGTCGCAATCACGCGCGGAGTTCTTTCGCGAAAAATATTCTCTCTCTCCCGGGGAGAGAGATTACACCACTGTGTACCGGCCACCACTACTTTTCTTCTTACCACTCCGAGGAATCGACGTTACGGAACGCGTAATTACGGTTCGGGGATAGCGGGCGAGCTCGTGCACACCGCGCTCCGGCCCCGTGCTCGTCGCCGCGTTTACAATCTACGACACACGCGCTCGACTTTGGACACACCGCGAGGAACAAGACACCTGGCGAGAGTATTCGCCTGCTGACCACCGCGGCCTATTTGACGAACAATCGGGTCGGCACGTCGGACAGCGATGAACAGAGAGAGAAGAACGATTAAAGACCTCCCGTGCGCGTGACACTCTCTTTGGGTCGCGATATGTACAACGCGTGAAGCGATAAAAACGGAGTGGACCCGCGTGACCGCGAATCGCTACGAATCTTTTGGTAGCGATTTCTCGTTGGTATCCCGACGGTCTTCCACCACTCCGTGACCTACGGCCTTCGCGAAATACTTTTCACGACGGTGGGAACGGTGAGTACCGAAGTTGACGAGGATCCGATCGCCGATCGGAACCAGGGGTGTCGCGTCCGTGGTACTCGGACGAGTCGTACGATCCAGCGTGCACCGCGCGACGTCGTGGTAGCTGTCGGTGTTATTAGGTACTCGGGGGTAGTCCGGCGAGTCGGCGGGGTTATCTGATAGGTCGGATGGTGCCGGTGCGGCGTCCGAGAAACTACTGAACGAGTGCCGCGGTTCTCTTCTCCGGCTCCGTTCGGGCACGCTCCTCGGTTCGCTCTCGTAGAGAGATCGACACACCAGCACACGGGCCGGCAGCAGCCGAGAGTGAAACCAATACCAGCGCGCGGAGATCGACTCGACTCGCTACTCACACGGGCGTCCCGCAGCATCCATCCCATCCCGTCCTCGTGGTTGTAGTAGTAGCAGCCGTCGTCCCGTGTCGTCCCGTTTCGTCTCGTCTCGTCCCGTTCCGCTTCGTACCGTGTCGTCCCGATTCCATCCCATCCCAGAGCGACGCAGCACGCGACAGATCTGGATGCTCGCTCGCTCTCGTCCACTACCTCGCCACCACGACCACCACGCGCCTCTTCTTCTCCCTCTCTTCTTCTTTCTCCCTACTCCCTTCTACACCGACTGCTCTCTTATCTCTCTTTCTCTTCCTCCGTCCAGCCCTCTTCTCCACTCTTTCTCTTCTTTCCTTTCTTTCTCTCCTGACCACCGCCGTCTACGCTCTTCCTCTTCGCTGGTTCTCCTCTCTTCGTCCGTTCCTCTTCCGAGCTCACCCTGCTTCTGCTTCTGGTTCCTCTCTACCTCTTTCTCAGTTCACTCCTCTTTCGGCTCTCGTCTCCGTCGTGCTTTCTACCTGTACCGTTCCTTTCCACGATTCTCGTGGCTTTTCCTCCTTTCGCTGATTTTGTTTCCCTTTATGGTCTTTAACGAAACTCGGATTTTCTTCTTCGCTTCTCTGTTATTTTGCAAAACGTCGTTTCCTCTCGTTTCCTGGAACTCTGCGCGAACGTCTGTTGGCCCTACTCATTGACGTCCAGCTGCATGATTCGCCGCTTCTGCTCCCTTTCGGTTCCTCTCCTATTTTCTCGTTCACGCGTCCGCCCTCTGTTTTTCGTCCGGTGGCTATTATTTTCCCGGACCCGACGTCGTCAGGGTCGTCGGCAGTGGAACGATGAAAGGGGGCCTAGTAAAGAACGAGGAAGCCCGTTAACAAGGCCATGAAGGACGCACGCGAACACCTGCGAACCCGCCGAGATAGATCGTTCGGAAATCGCCTGTTGCACACGCGCCCGCGTCACGATTCCCTTCGTGTCTCGTCTTCCTCGTCGCCGCGCTCCGTTTCCTTCTACCCTCGCTCCGATCCTGCTCCGATCCTCTCGCGTGTTCCTCCCGCACGTTCCGGCTTTACTAGTTGCTTCTTGGCTCGTCTGGTGCCTCGTACTCGCGCTCAGTCCTTCTCCTCTGCTCCTGTCGGCCTATCTTCCGTCGTCCAGTCCTCGTTCGCACTTCCTCCGTCCTCGTCGCTCTTAACGGGACACCGATCGAACTTGGGTCCGTGTGTTATTTCTTGCCCCTGTCCTCGTTCCTCTTCACGCGGCGATTCGCGAACTACGCGCGACTACAGGATCAACCGCGACACGCATCAGTTCTCGTTTTCTTCGGCTCCTTCGTTTCTTTTTCATTCTTTCTTAGACACGAGCGAACAGCCCTATCGAGGTCAGTCGTACCGCGTACCTGTAAACAGTAACAAGGCCGTCCTTTCAGTTACGATCCCGTCCCGCTCTCATCTCCCATCGCGCTTTCCGCGTTATTAGGGAAATCGGTGCGTGTACAACCGTGGAATCGGAGCCGCGGGCATGTACACACCGATCGAGAACGGCACGCCATCGGCGACCGACGCGTTTCGGTAGCTTTTGTACTTCGAGTGGCATTGCCTTTCCGGGAATTTCGCAGAACGAGCGAACCAAACGATTTCGAAGAGTTTAATTTTGCAGGCATGGCGATCTGTTCTTTTCATTGAAACGGATACGAATCGGCTACGGTTTTATTAAGTCAGAGCATGCAAATGGATTTACCGTTTCATGCATGTCTAAAATTTCAACGAGGTAACACTGTTTTTGTTAGTAGTCGAGCTCGGACAATTTTTGTCTGAACGTTATTGGAGCAGTACTGCCTTTACATAATTTATGCAGCTTTCACTTCCGACGCTTACGATTGATTGTTTTATGTAACCCCCCCATGATTTTATTAGATATTTACGTCAGAGAATTTTTGAACCATGCCCGGAAGCTCGGCTGATGATCGGACGAGCGAGTGACGGTGTGAACCACGAACTCTGATAAAGATTCATTTATAATATACTTAAGTACATCAGCTTGAAAACGACAATCTCGTTCAGGAAGAAGACGGGGAAAAACAAACGAAGAAAGGATCACGCATCGGTTTAAAATCCGACGTCCCTTAATAGCAACCGTTTCGGGGAAAACTATCTCATCCGGTAGAACGCCCTAGGACAAGCATCGGAGGTTCCACGACGTGTAACCAAGATAAAAGGCAGAAAATACCGTTCATTGTGGATCGCGACATACCTCCGGCCTGCGACTTTTACGAGGAGCGTCAAATTTCCATCGCTGTCAAATATCTCGACTAGTTGTTCAAGATAGTTGGTCGGTTTCACGGTTTTTACCGGGATTTCTCGTTCGAAAATATTTTCCACCCCCGACGTTAACTTCGGAACCGATCGAGTCACTTAAGCCGCATTTACCGCGCGGCTCGTAAACGTGGGCAAACGATGAACGCGTCAACGGCCTGGAAAATATGACGAAATGGACGTCCACTGCACTGCGCGTTGATAAACGCTGAGAAAGACACCTATGCCGAAGATTAGAAGGCGCCACGATGATCCACATTCTTACATTGCTCATCCGCCTTCGACGGGAATTCTTTATTTCAAAGAAACAATGGTACAACTACGAACCATAATTATAGAAACTCGACTGTCTAAATAACAGTTCAATGAGAGAGACATCATAATAATTTTTTATAAAAGAATTCATCGAATCCATATCTGATAAAGTTCTAATCATAACGTCGAATGAACGATCATACACACGACGATAGGTAGGAAAAGAAAGCCCAAGAAACTGAACTTAATTCACGATAATCAGTAGTGGCAATCCAGCAGAAAGTATCGGCAATTAATACGTGATTTAATCTTTACAATCTACGTATTCTGATTGTCCAAAATAGAAACCACTCCACGAGGCCTTTCAAAATTTTATTGCGATAACAGACGATACGTTTAAATCAGACAATTGTAAATCGCAATTGCTATTAATTCCATGAAACTATTTTGATTTCAACGTGATTAATAGAGTTTTTAATATATATTAAATTATTAACCGCTTTGAACGCATGAGAATACTTCGGCAACGCTTATCGAATCGTAGTATATAGTTATTCATTTATTCAGTATAATCAGCGCTGTCCGTGGCTCGACGTTCACGTGAAACATTACAAGCATGCGTAATTGGTTGTAATACAGCCCACTGTACGGTAAACTATTAATACGATCGTTGTAACCTCGATCAATTCTCTCTCTCTCTGCCGTACGCTCATTACCGCTGAAACTTACACGTGGTAATTTCAGTCAAATTAACGTCGCGATCTGTAGGAATCGCCGTGCCGGATTAAGGCAATGCTCGACACAAATAGGGTATTTAATGCGAACCCCCGGACAAAACGAGACGATCATAAAACTGGCATCATTAATGATACTTCATCAATCCCAGAGCTGACTTATAATTTATACGTGTTCGTCATTTTCACCTATGAGATTTCTCGTTCCTTCATTTGCATGGAAATAACCACGGATTGCAAACCGTCCGTGAAACGTTTAAGCTTTTTACCATTTATGGAAGAATCCGCTTTCCTATAAAAGTATTTACTTTACATTTGTTTCGAGCATGAATAATGCTGAGACAGATTGCAATTTTTCATGTATTTTATGTGCTTGTGAAATATTAGAGACAAGTGGAACGATGTTTAATAAGTAAAAGCGAATCGCGGAATAATTGTTTTATGATGAAGGAGCAGGTTCCGAGGACGTTGAACAAAACCGAATGATACAAAACTAATAATGTAGTAATTCGTCCCACGTTAATTTTTACCCGCCTATCCTGTTCCGTGTTCAGCGGATCATGAAATTCTACCACTTCGTTAGCAGACTCCCGAGGAAATGTACGACTAAAAACGCGAGGACTGCGAACAAGTAAATACGGAACAGCATTCTGAGAAAAAGGAACATGAAAATCGTCTCTATTAGATGTTAAATTCGCATTACAACCGATTAGGAGCGACAATTTATAATATTAATTGCGTACGGCCACTCAACACGAGCCAGACCTATAAATATAAGTTCGACGAGTGGGCGTGCGCACGTATTCGCCTAGCGTTCGAGATAAGTCCACGCAGTCGATTTAACGAAATCGTTAAGCCGACGAATCACGTGTGACCGGAACGCGAAAGGGCCGGCTCTGTTATTAAGAAATTTTCATTCGCGTAATTATTGCCTTGATAGCCGAGCGTCGATTCATAAATTACGACCGAATTCTCTCCACCCATTTCTAGCAGCTCGAAAGCCCACGCGAGTCGACCGCCGAAAAAATCGTATCCAATATTTCGTAACAGTTTTGTAACATACAGTAGTTTCAACGTTTACTGTAAAATATGTAATTACAGATTGCAACGCGATTATCTACAATAAGAATCGTCATTCCCTGTTCATGTCGTGATCGAAAATGTGTCGAGATTTTAATATCGGATTCGAAGATTAACGTCGAGAATAAAGGCGGAAATGAGACCGCCTTGAGTAGCACTCCATTATAACCACGGCTAGCCATTCAGTAAAACTCGTTCGGGGACTCATAAGTCGGATGCCGGTTAAAGGAAGCAAAACGCGCAGAGTGACCAGGAGGGTGACAAAAGAAATAGACGAGGGAGGCAATAAAATAATAGGAGGAGAAGCACGGGGGGAGGCTCGCCGATCCTCTTCGGTGATCGGTCAAGTGGCTGCCGTGATTTTATCTCTAACAGCGACTCAAATGTATCGAACCGGATGGCGCGGCTTTTTTTCGCGTATAATCGTTTTCGTTCGCGCTGAACAGCGGGCTCGTTAGAAGCATCGTTTCGTGTCAAACCGGGCGGGGGCAATTACGTCGATTGAGATTATTTTCGCGCAAAAAATAGGGGGCGAAAGAACGAACTCGAGGCTATTTCTTTTTTCGGCGGTGGTTCGCGCGATATTAAATCCTTGAAAGCTTGCACCTGTTCTGCATTTCATTTCGCCGGATTTGTTAGTTTTTCATTGAAACTTTGTTATCCCCTCCTCCTTGTTTGTAATGTGTAATGCAGTTTATGGCTGTTGGAGAAACTTAATTTGGGTCTTGCCATCGAGGATTTTAGGCTCTTAAAGAAGAAGGGTTCAAGCTGCAGTAAACCCAAATGCATTAAGTGTAATTGGGCAATTTCTGTAAAATAGCTTCGAACGTTAAGATCATGATGTCTTCAAATGTGAAAGGCAATTAAGGGGCAATTTAATTAACGTCCAAACTCGATAACGACGTTTGATAGGAAATTGTTAAGAACGAGACTTGTATCTACGTGTTTGTCTGAGGAAAATTCACTTTCACGTTCCAACGATGCTTTCTCATTTTGTCAGCGGTGAGAAATAAAACATGATTGAGTAACATTGAGGTCGTGAAATTTAGTATCGACGTGTATACTGATTATTCAAGAGAGCTAATTTTATTATCACTTTGACTAATGGTACTTGTCAGTCGATCGAGACATTTATGTATAATTACTTTCATCTTGAATAAACGTTTTCCCTTCCCTTAAACGTATTTGTAAGTAGTCTAGTGTCTGGCAATCAATCTTCATTTTTCCTCTTCCGAGTGTAGATACCATCGAGCAGGGAACGAACTTTCGCGTTCGAGTCGTTCTTTCGCTTTTTACTCGACGTGTGAACACTCAAAGCTAATAATTAATTGGTTACACATACGAGTAAAAAGTATTTTAATAACCTATTTATGCGTTAAATAATGTCTCTTGACGATCTATCCGGACAAGCGTTGAGTCCACTTCTTTCAAGTAATAATCAATTTGCACGTTGAGATCAAATTCATATAATTTACTCTGAATACGATATATCGATTCGTTGACAGAGTGCATTTGGACCTGACTTATGTCATAACGTTCGCGTCGAGGTGCAATAACATAAATTAGACGTGAACGTGCCCACGTATTTTATTTTTAGCCTCGGTTGCCTCCAAGAATGTCTGTATATCCTGTGCGTCGGATTAAACAGAAAAATACAAGCCGAAATAGAAATCTGGCTATTTTTACGGAAACTATAAACTTCGAAACGCAATTAGAACCTAAAGCCCTTCCATGTAACACATTCCAGTACGTGGATACGTAACGCATCTTTGAAAAAACATACAAGAGATTACGTGCAAATATTGAAACTGTGTCATGACTCGAATTTTTCCCTAGCTTCTAGTATGTGACTCGCTACTAAAAAAAACTTCATTAAATCAAAATGAGAAAAAAGAAATCGCCCGACGTGGGGCTCCACCCACGATCTTCAGATTATCAGCTTCTCCTGCTCTACCTTTTTTGTATGAATGTTTTTATTTACTCCTTAACATGTCTTATAATTGTTTGGCTAATAA